CAGACAAGTGTCGCTTTCTTTTTGTAAATAGAAATTGAAGTGTTTGGAGTGTTACAGGAATGCTAGGCGATAGACAAGTTTTCGATCAAACTGATAACAATCTGGATCTTTGATGACCAAAGCGGAATTTCACTCTTGGATTTTTACCAAACGAATTTTTATTTTTGTTGAAAAAAGTTTGGAATATTTGACTTAACGAACGATTGTACAATGTAGCAGAGACTTCGATAAGCACTCCAGAATATTTCCAAATTTTTATAAAGCCTAGAACAGCAAAAAAGTTACATCTCAGTTTGAAAAAGTCTTCTCTGGGTCATTAATGACCCGAGCAAAATTTCACTCCTGTATTTCTTCGATTGTTGAAAAAAGTTTGAAACATTTCATTTAACGAACGATTGTACAATGTAGCAGAGACTTCGATAAGCACTCCAGAATATTTCCAAATTTTTATAAAGCCTAGAACAGCAAAAAAATTAGACCGGAGTGAGGAAAAACCTTCTCTGTCAATTTTCGAGATATTAAACTACAAGAAAATGCAAAAAATTTCCAAAAATTAATTTATCCAGACGATTCGTAACATTTATCAAAATTTCAAAGATCCACATTTTTAAAATGATCTTTTATCACAGATCGTTAATTTCAGAATCTTCACTTAGAATGGACAAAAAATGGATTTTGTCAATCCGTCACAGTAGGAAGATCCCTCAAGTGAAATGTTAACCCTTTGGACTCCTTTGTCGAGTGTGACTCGTCGTCAATTTTATTCACAGGTGTGAATAAAGTAATTTTTAAATTGCCACTTTAAATATGTATCATATTTTGCAATATTTCATTTACCTGAATCAGCAATAGGTACACATATATATCACCCTTAATGCTATTTTCAATATAATTAGTAAAAAAAAATTGTTTAAATTGCTTCCTATCAACCAAATATCGTTTGAAGTGCATTTCAACTAAAATACTTAATACTGCACTCCTTGAGGCGACTAAGAAGCGACATTATATTTACCATTAGAGGCAACTCTAAGCATGATATTTTCCTATGGACCTCCGTGAATTGTTCACTACATGTCTAGAGATCTCAGCAGTGAGATAGTTTGAAAGAACCAACTTCTAATAAAAATATTAGTTTTAAAAAATTACATTAACCCCTTCAGGGACGATTTTCTCTAAAGTCAGAAAATATTGACCTAATTTTTTATGTAGATAGCAATTAAACTACTTTCCTTAGGAGATTTCTGAAGATTGTGTTTTTCGTATTTCCTCTATGGCAAATATTGGAATTTTCGGAAAGTTTGAAGGTACACATACGTGTCGGTGCTCCTGAAGAGGTTCATTTTTGCTACTTCTTTATAGAAAAAAAGGGGCCTTCGAGTGCAAAAAGTTATAAAAAAAAAAAAATTTCGAGTTCAAAGAGTTAAGACGACCATACACAGTTCACCATAGTTCCTCGGTTCAGAGGAAAACTGACACCGGAATCTGAAATCCCGTGGAAAACTCCGCGTGGAGGGTGCTCGAAAGGAGCGATTCGCTTCGAGAGAGATCGTCTCGAGGCCACGAATCGCAGGCACGCGTACGCTCGGTGCGTTACGCAATCGGCTCGCTTTATCGGCCTCGTTGACGTTAATTAAATGTAGGCTCTAGAACGCGGAAGGAGCTAAGTTCGGGGAGATAAGTCCGCCACGCCTTATGAGCGATTTAATTGTGCGTTCGAACTGCGGGACCGCGATAACCCTCTGGCAGAGTTTCAACAGGATCTCTACCGCGGGGTTCACCAGACGATAAAACCGGCCGACTCAACGTACGAAACGGACCATCGCTGTAAACGTGTTCCCCTCTCTTATCGACGACACAGAGCCGCGTGGAGGAATTATGAAAATCGTCTTTCGCTGGAACGGGACGTCAGCGTGATTTCACGGTTGGAACAACGGCCGTGTGTCGCGGAGATTAAGGTCAACGAAGACTTTGGAAGACGGAGGGTAGGCAAGGACGAGAGCGGAAGAATTGGTACCTGCGACGGCGAGGCTCTCTACAAGGGTGGATTGTAGAGGGTGAACGAGGAATGTTGTATGAGAAATGTGAACGATAGAGAATTATTTATTGTATTATTTCTTGCAATGGAAAGTTCTTACCCTGAATTATAGATACTGAGAGTTAAGTAGAATTAAAATTAAATTTTGTGGTTTTTTAAATTTTAAAAGTGAACGATGGAAAATGATTAATTTCATTATTTCTTGCAATTTTCCACAGAGTCGGTGTAAAGTTTTTACTGTTAATTTGTACTGAAAATTAAATAAAATTAAAATTGAATGGTAAATTCTAGGTTTTTTTTTCCAAATCTCAAAGGTAGAAAATTATTAATTCAAATATTTCTTAGAATTTACACAGAATGAATGAAAAGTTTACCCTGAATTACTCTGAAAATTAGATAGTAACTATCAAATTCTATGGTTCTTTTCAAATCTCAAAGGTGAGTGATAGAGAATTATTGAAAATGGTAGAAAATTCCATTACTTCTTCTAATTTATATACAATTAATGCAGAGTCACTTTAAAATCCACTATTTCATTAATTCACAAATTGCACAAAATTGGTAATTTAGAGAAATTACTTAAAAAGTGATATATGTTTCCTACAAAATCCAGAGAAAAACACAACGTTTCAAGTTGTCGCGTTGGCAGCACACCGATAAATGATAAAACAATACCTCAATATCGATACTCTTGACCAGTACATTATCTCTCAAGAAATCATTCGATATTGAATTTAAAATTTGATCTAACGAAATTGATTAAACGATCGTTTCTCAAACTCAATTCACTTTTCAAAGTTAAAACTCGTAAAATGGAACTGTAAACAGTTATTTTCAAGACAAACGACGAAATTACAAGTCGCCGATACGTAAACAAGCAATTTTACACAAAAACACGAAAGCAACGTTCTTAATCTTATCTAAAAAGTTTCACAGAATTTGTTGCAACTTTGACGTTACACTCGCTGGCCAAACTTGATAAGAAAAAAAAAAAACAAGTCGGAAAGTAACAGCAACGGAAGAAAGTAGCATAATAATTAAAAGTAAACTTTCCGAGTTTGCAAGGGAATCTGTGTTTAATTGCAGCTTACAATAAATCCAGTCAGGTATGGAATATCTTATAAATTTCTCCTGATATCCATTAATGAGGAAAAACAAACAATTACAGTTTCCATATCATTCGAATAAAATAACAAGTAGTACAACAACATTACAATACCAATTTAACTTTGTCACCAACCCTATCATCCAAATAAAACCAACAACTCCTACAAAAATGACTTCTCTTTAACATTAACTATCGCTTGCAAATTAAATCGAATATTAAAAATAAAAATATAACAAAAAATCGTGCAGATAAAAAATTCTTCGACGAGGAGAATTTCGTAATTTCTAATTAACGAGACCACCTAATTACAGCCCCATGCGTTACCAACAAAATTCCACCTCGCGATCTCTCGTTTCCCCAAAACCTCTGATCACCGCTGAATAAAACCGGAAGCGTTCGATGCATCACCTATAGATAGAGTAGCTTCCTCCGAAGAAGGCCTGTCCTACCTCGGTAATCATCTAAATATAACCACGACGATCGATGACTAATCCCATACGTCACCCCGTAACGACGAGACAAGGGATCCGCCTATAAAGAACCTGTGCAAAAAAAGAAAAGAAAAAACAAGATCAATCGTATTGTAAGGACGACAGATAATTCCCTAGGTTACACGAAGGCCAAGTCCACCAGCTGGAGGAGGATTAGCGAGTTGCAACAGAGCACGCGTCCGCGTTGCACTTGAATTTATCAGATAAGCAAAGCTTCACGTTTCGATCGATCGATCCGATCGATAACAGAAGGAAGAGACGACACAGAAGAAACAGTTGAGAATTGTAGGATGAGCGAGCGGTTAATTCCACGGAAATCTCTCAGGGAATCCCCTTCTTCGTTACGCTCCGACAGGTCAAATACCTTCGTTCTTCTTGCATTCCTTCACAATTCAGTCTCACGCGTTTCTCTTAACGTTCACGTGGACCATTTGTCACAGAAAATTTTGCATTAGACACGGCGAGATGTTTCAAATGATCTCGTTGAACTGACTGTTACAGAAAGATCGGTTCAAAGAACGGAGACGACACATGTAGAACTCCAGTTTTAATAGACCTCATGAGAATCTCCATTCATTCTTATTAGCGAAAAGAGAAAGCTCCACGGTGAAAGTTGCACTCAATGGCGGAAAGTGGCAAACGTTGCCATCCCCAATGCAGGATATTTTACACGGTTCTCGGAAGAACGCGTCGTTGAAAGGCTCTTTACAAGAAGTGTGAAAAGATGCGGGTCACTTATGACCCGGTCACCGGATCTTGACTCTTTACAGTCGAAACCAGGGGGAATTCCCAGCGTAGCAACTTTACCGTTGCAGTCAAAAATAGGAAAAAGTGTGGGAAAAATCGAGTGTAATATACACACTGTAGCGACCCTCCTACGCTCTGCCACCAGAGGGACAACAGACTAGCCACAGGTTCTCGCTAGTCCTCATAAAGGCTCCTATTTGTATATATACACCTTCTGACCTGAGTCCTTAAGGCACGGGTCTCCTAGAAAGCCTCCCTGACGAGTCCACTTAGGAGGCACAGGACGAAACCGCCCTAACCTTACTTTTTCCGCCTATCCTCCACCAACTTTCCTACCTAGCTTCAACGCTATCACTATTATGTAAAAAGACTGAAAACAGATCTATCATCGAAGTAATTTCCACAATTCTCCATGACCTTCCGCCATTTTTCTGAAAGCTCGCGAACATCATCGCGAATAGAAACTTTGGCTTTGAATCAATTATGCGAATCGAATCAAAATTCATTTCTACACCTGATATTTATAATATTCCCTACCAAAGATCCATCAACGATCTTCCAACACGACAGAGAGCTGCAAAAAGGAAGAAAGAAAAAAGCAGGGTGATATTTCACTCACCTTCTTCTTGCGAGGGTGTTGCTCCTCGAGGTAATCTGGCACTATACCCTCGTCCAGGGTGGTGGTCGAGCCTGGGGTGCTACTCGACGACGAGCCAGACGCGTTGTAAGGGTAATGCTGCTGATTGTGCGAAGGATGAGCGGAGCTCGGCCATAGAGAGCCGGTGGTCGGTGCCCCTTCGTCGCTCAGCGGCGGACTGGGGGTGCCACTTCGCCATGAAGCCCTGCTGCTGCTGCTGCTGCTGTTCGACGTGCCGCCAACTCCTGGTGAGCCGACGACCACGCCACCACCTCCTCCTCCTCGACCTCCCCAGGAACCTTATCGACGGGGGACCAAGGGTGATTTTTAATTAATCAACTCGCTTAGGATTCGACTAAGATCGATCGCGGGTCTGCGTAATTGATGATAGTTCTGTGTAGATAGGTTTTGTCGGGATAGAGGTATAGGGGGTGGAATATGTTTTGGCGAGTGGGTTTCACTCGGTGAAATGCTTGAATAGATAGATTGTTGCAAATTGAGGCGTGATTGAACGTAATCTCGGCGTGTGGCCGAGATTAGATAGAACCGCTGTCAGACACCGTGGCACGGTTGAGTTTAGACTTGGTAGAGATGGTAGGTAGGTGTACGGGGACTTGTGAATGATTAAGGCGACGAGAATAGAAAGGGTGATCTCAATATTTTGGGTACAGTTTCGTTTTCTTTTTTTTTATTACTGTGTAAACTGTGTTACAGTTAATTTCTAGGTGATTATTAAATTGTTGTTAAATACTGGCTAACGTTTGAGTACATTTTGTGATAATAATTCTCTTAGAAAATATGAATTAACATGGTAATCAGATTTAATTATACGTATTTTAATCGAATTGAGAATTTCTGGAAAGATACTCAATTTTCTCCTCTTCCAAAACAGATCACAAGTTTCTTCCTCATTTCCAATATCATTCTCCGACACGTTTACTACAGCCTGACAGTTACTAAATTTTGTGATTCAACCCTTTCGCAAAATAATTAACATGGAAATCGAATTATTCATTATTTTCCTTCAAATTCCAAATTTCTGCAAGAGACGTTGAATTTTCCCAATGGAACCTCTTTTCCAAAACAGATATCACACACCTATAAATGCAACGTTCCAGCTACTAAACAAAGCCCCGGGAGAAATATCTTCACCATCCTCGACGGAGCAAGATTTTCGGTCCCTAGGTCCGCTTAAGCACTCGCTACATGATACTGACCGTAATTGTGCTGGCAGTGAAGTGGCAGGGGATTGTGAGGGCTGTGTGGCGAGCATGAGAGCGACATGAGGACCAGCGCGGCGGTGCACTCGTCCATGCAGTCGCCGCGCTCGTTGGTACGACACCCCTCGCGACCGCAACCATGGGGTATTCTGTCGCTCCAACCGCTATACGACCGCTCTGAATCATTGCTCGAGCTTGGACGCCGTTTTCTGGATCTGCAACACGTAATTAAATATTCTCCGTTCGATTAAATTCGTTCCATCTCGCCGATTATTGTTTCGAACCACTCAGAAGCTGGAATGATCAACTCCCGTTTAGTATCGAAGCACCATTAACTCTTTATAGGTAAAAAAAAATGTTGATACGTTTAATTCGCCGGAGTTAGTCACTTTCGACTTCTGAACGTTCAAAATGTCCCAGGACAAATTCGTTCTTCGATTATATCACGGTTTGGTATAGTTTGTAGAAGCGGTGTAACGAGGTTCGTAAATTAAAGCATTGATCCTTTCGGTACGAAGGGCATACATACCGGGTGTCCAAATTTTTTCGGATCAAACTTCGTCAGTGTGTTCTACGGGTGTAGGTAAGAAACAAGTGTTATGTGAGCATGTGTTGTTTGAAGCTTGATTAAGAAGTTATGACAATAACAGGGAATAGGAAGCTAACGGGTGTCCAGTTATGATACAAAGTAGGAATAGATCAGCGATATGTATATTTAGTCTGTTTATGCAGGCTGTGTCTATGATTTGAAGTCGTTGAAAGTGTTAAATGTAACTTCTACCGACGCCATTTTTATCTTGTATCATACCAACCGCATTTTGTATTTCCGTTGTAACTTTTTAACGAAGCTTCAAACGACCTACGTTCGTATAACATTTGTTTCTTATTTACATCCATAGAATATACTGACGAAGTTTGATCGAAACAAAATTGGGACACCCAGTATGCACGCTGTAAAAGTGGTTACTCATTCAGGAAGAGCGCACATATACGCCCATCTAATACGTACAATTTATTCATTTATTGTCGCACTTCACAAATAAAATATCGCCATCGCCTCAAACTCGGACAACTATCGTGAAACAGTTGATTATCAATCCTACCTATCTTTAATACAATTTATATTTTATTTCCTTTGTGCAGGAAATTTTTGAATACAGTAATATGCGATTATAATTTGTCATATGTTGTACGAATATCCTGATTCATACTCGAGGATTAATTCATAACGTTTGAATGCTAATGGTAAAGTAAAGATTCGAGTACTAATTAAGTGTTAACTCCGAGTGCTGAAGACTGTGAAGCCAGATGCTCACTATGGACGATACGCAACCTGTGATGATCAGTTCTGTGAATATGATATCCTATGCTCGTGTTACGTACTTTATCTAATATTTAATTATGCAACATAAAATTGAACCAGTCTTTTATTTCTACTTTTATTACATAAAATTACTATAGGTGACAGATGTTTGGGTGTTTGAAAGAAATTTAGAGTCTACATCGATGATATTATATTATACCTGTTACAAAATAACAATAAACAAATAATTGAACTACAATTGACGTATTGACTTAATTGACAAAAATTATGTCAATTTGAATTTTTTCAGACTCGAATAACTTTAGAATGCACTGTGCTATAGACTGAATACGCTGTACTGAGTTGCATGAATCGTGTATAATAGAAGATAAAAGACTTTCAATACTATATTTAAATATTTATGCGTGACATCAGAATGATATAATACATGTGTATATCCGCGGAGAATTTCAATCTGATACATACAAAGTGTGATTTAATATGTGTGAAACGCGGTTCAAGAATGAATTCAGAAATAAATTCGTATAAATGCATGGCCAACCTGACCTCGTCTTTTAGTTACGAAGAATTTTGTGGTTTGATAAATTATGTGTATTTAAATTCACGGGGGAAAGGGGAAGCTTATAAATGCACGGTCACTGGCTTCTTTATTACAATTGATTTCATTCCATCATCGAAACTGATCAAAACTTTTATCCATGTGAAATGTATTCATTGTTACCAAATTTCATTCTGCAGTGATCTAATAAATAAAGATTCCACCCTGTAAACTGATAAATAAAAATTCCAGCCTGTAAATGATCTAATAAATAAAACTTCCACCCTATGAATTGACTTTTGCTAAATTAATAAATAAAACTTAAGAATTAATAATTTAAAGTTTTAGTAAAAATTCTACGGTATAAATAAAAGTTCAACCCTATAAATTAACTATGGTTAAACTAATAAATCAAAATTCCACCCCATAAACAACAATTACCAAATTAATAAATCAGGTTTCCCAAAGGTTGCAAAGACTCGTACGAATTATCAGACATTTAGGCTCAGCTCACAGCCAAGCCTGTCCGTTCCAAGATCATCCGCGAAAGGGTTAAAAACCCATCCATTCCCATATACCACCGCAAACACGAGAAACTTGCCGACAAGATAAGAAACGACAGACGTCATCGTACCCCGTTCACGTAACACACCGTGGCTCCACGCAACGAGATTAGCGGACGAACGTGCAAGTTTCGCAACGAAGGAAACTCCGCTTCCTCTCCTCGTGTCATTTTTTCCTCCTCCCCCTCGCGAGTTTTCGAGGAAGAAGCGTTCAGCGTGTAAAGCGCGTGTGTGTCACCGGGGACAATAAGAGGCTGTCGCCATTTAAGATCCGCGCAACAATGGATCGTTGCCGGCCGTTCCGAGAATTTCGCGCTTCTGCAATTACGTAAAATAATGTTTTTCCAGCCGATATTCCCCAGCCGCTTGGCCAGGAACGGTCGTTGTACCGTAATGTCCTGACGGGCGACGCGTTGTAAATTACGCTTTTCCGAGAAAAGCCGTAAAGATGCGACGATAACACGCCACGAGCGTTCTCCACGTGTTTCCCCTGGATCGGTAACCTGGTCATTTTCGATCGCGTACCTGCTTCTGTGCTACCTTTGTCCGCGACCATTTTCACGGAAAGAGTTCGTCGTTTTGTCGTTAACGCTGTAAGGACAGGGGTCGGCAACGCGGTGCCCGCCAAGGAATTTTAAAGTGCCCGCCGTTCAAATGTCTGAATTCTAAATTTTACAATAACAAACACTCGTACTTGTAACGAATAATTTTAGTAAACATTCTTATTTTATCTATAAAAATTTATGTTGCATTAATATTTTCATGTTTAAATATTACCCCTCATTTCCCCTCGCATTTCTGAAATTGTCCTCTTAGTAAAAAAGGTTGCCGACCCCTGCCCGAAGAAATTGAATGAATGTTATGTTCAGGGTGTGTTGCAAAGGTTGGACAGAAATTTGGATACAGTATTTGTTATATGATAAACCGCCTGTGACTAAAATTATGTTATTTAAATGTTTCACTTTTTACCTGTGAAAACACTGATTCGCTATCCTTAGAGATTGAAGAATTATTGAGATCCTTAAAAAATTATTCTGAAACCACCGAAACACTTTTTTTTTTTAATAATAAATCATTCACTGGAAAATCTGTGCTATAGTTTTGTAAGTTTTGAGAGACAATAGGGTAGACTTGCGTTTTATCTTTTACTAAACACATTTTATTTGAAATTACACCTGCCAAACCTGAACCAAGAAAATCACCAAATTCTGCAAAATACTTTTCTTTTGTTTATTTTATAATAATAAACTTTTCAGTGGAAAATCTGTGCTATAGTTTTGTAAGTTTTGAGAGACAAAATAGAGCAGACTAGCGTTTTATTTTCCATAAATATATTTTATTGTAAATTACACCTGCCAAATCTCAGCCACAAAAATCACCAACCCTACAAAACACTTCCCTTTTCTTCATTTCATAATAATGAACCTTTCACTAAAAAGTCTCCGCTAAAATTTCCCGAATTCACCTGCCAAATTTGCAAGGTTTCAAACAGGGGTGAGTTTAAAAGGCAAGCTTTGATACGAGTGGATCGAATGATTCGACATTCGACACCGAGTAATCGATAGAAACCCCGACTTTCTACCAAATTACCGGTTAAATTTTCCTCGTTATCCACGCCGGTCGAGCATCAGCCGAGGAATAATAAAATTGATATCAGTGTCGAGGAGAGATCGGGGGCGTTAATGTTCGATTGCTTTCATTGATGATTTTCAACGTGAAACTTTATAGGGCGGCAGGATGAAATGTTTCAATGACGAAGAAGCGGCAATCAGTTTTGAAAGACGATAATGAAATTGATCAACGTTCATGGAATCCGTCTAGTTCGGTTCGGTATTTATTTTGAAGGGGTGTTGATGAAAGTGTTTGGCCGAGCAATGTACTCGACTGGATCAAGGTATTATGAATTATTATTCATTTGCAGGGACTCACTGATAATGCATATCTCTATGTTGTATAATATCGCAGTTATAGTGATTCGTTTTATTATTCACAGCTGTTAAAATGATTGAAATTATTAAAAATATTAATACCGATAAATTGAACATTTTTTAAAGGTCTCTGATAGATTTGTATTATTTTTTGTAAATTCGCTATTTGAAAATAAATTTATTTCCATCTTAATTTCTCTAATTACAGTTCTACTACAACTTGGTACATTTGTTTCTATAATATTGGAATCAAAGTGATTCGTTCTATTCTCTACAAGCTGTTAAAACGATTCTAATTATCCAAGTAATTAATACTGATAAATTCTTGAAATACTCGTGAAAATTTTTTGAAGGTTTCTAATAAATTCTATTACTTTTCTAAATTCGTTATTCGCAAATTAATTTCTCTGTTTACAATTCTACAGCAACTTGGTATATTTGAGTATTGTATAATATTCGAGTTAAAATGATTCAAACAATCCATGTAATTAGTACTGATAAACTGAACATTTTTTCAAAGGTTTCTAAATAGATTTCTATTATTATTCTGATCAACTTATTTCCATCTTAATTTCTCCACTTAGAATTCCATGACAACGCGACACAACGCTGAATGAAATCACATATTTAGATAGATCCAATGTGTCGTGCAGTTATCTTTTTAATTGAGCTCAAATTGACTTCACTTTATCAATTATGTAACACGTACTGTATCGTACCAGTTGAAGGTTAATTAAGGGGATCTAGTTAAACCTCCGGGCAATAGAAAGCTAATAGAAATAAAAAGAAAAAGAAGAAAAAAAGACACTTAGCAGTTTCATTTGGCGAGTAAACGTTAGCAGTACCATGAAATTGCTTCTAT